GGGGGGTTCATTTACCTTGGGAAGGGGGGAGGAGGGGGTATGCTGGTGAATAAAAGAAGTTGCTCACATTCATACAATGAGAATTGTTCGAAAAAAGTGTACAAAATGTGACACAACGTCCTTTTATCTTATACTCTATTCAACACATTAACAACAACTGCCATTGTGAATGCACTTAAACATTTGTGCAACCAACAGTCAAATGCAGTGAACTAAGTGTCTTTTTTTCTAGGTACCTGAACTCCTCCTACGTTACAAGTTACATGGACTGGTTTTTGTTTCAGATTTATATGTTTATCCACTGAGGTTTTCCTTTCATTTTGAGGAAAACATGCGAGCTACACGTAGCCTGATCAGGTGAACAGCGTGGACGCTCTAACGTTTCTGAGCATGAGGTGTAACAGTTCAAAAGTTTGGTCATTGTCTTTCCTTTGTGGACAGGAGCATTGCGTCATTTAAAAAATAAAGTATAGATTCTGTTATGCATTTTTTTTAAACGAATTTACAGGAGAGCCAAAAACAACAACAGCAACCCACCCCTGAATGTTGTTACCCAGTAAAACAACATTTGCTTAAAAGATCATAAGGAAGATATTATCACAACTGTTATCTTTAAAATATTGACTTGGGATGTTTGCATAAAGTTTGTTTTCTTAGTAACAATTATATTCATTTTTTTTTTTGGATCTCCTGTTAAATTGTATAAACTGCATAATATACTATATTTTTTTAATGACCGCAGTACATTGTCATGGTAGTCAACCACTCCAGAATCCAGAAAAACGCTTCGTTTTTTTCAGGCGAGCTAGTCTCAATTTTTTAAAGTAGGACTATTATGTCACCATAGTATTGTTCGTTATCAGTAGTACCTGTTGGGACCAGGAGTGCCTGGAACTGTCATCTCTGACTCAGAGGTTGACTTGGAATTACCCTTAATCCTTCACGGGTTCGAGCTGCCGTTGCACAATATTCTGCTATACCCTGGCCATTCCATGTTTTAATGTTGTCCATCCATATTACTCTTTGTCTACCGCTGGCTCTCCTGTCCCACATCGTTCCATCAAGCGCCTCTTTCATTAATGGTCTGGTATCGTTTTAAGTGACCAAAGTGTTTAATTTTTCTACATTTCACTTTTTTAAGCAGTGTTCTAAATCTGTTCGCACAGGTCATTGCAAAATTTCACCTTTGATGTGGAAGATAACCATTGTGCATGGCCTACAGTGACCCTTGTTTCCGACGTGCTATCTCTGGACGTGGGTCATCAAAGTCTTTCCATTCTGCCAGTTGTCTCGTTGTCTCAGGATCCCAAGAGCAAACCTAGGCTTCGTCTCCAGTTATGATTCTGTCTATAATTCTTTTTTTTGGGGTCTATAATCTATGGTTTGTGTCTATAATCGATGGTTAGGTTTCGTCTTCAGTTATGATTTTGTCTATAATTCTTTTTTGTTGTGTCTACCATCTATGGCATAAATCCACTGACTTTCGCATCTGTTTTGTTTCCAAATGGGCGAACAGGGCACCAATTTGGAAAACATCTTCTTTTTATTCAGTTTGCCAGTCAGAATCCCCAACACAATTCAAGTAAACAATGAAGCTTCATTAACTAGACTTATTATTATCTTCTGTGATACTCAGGCCAGTCCATGAAGGATGGAGGGTCATTACACGTCAACCTGTGAGTCAGAGATGACACCTCCAAGTATCCAGGTATATTATCTTCACAAGTATTTGTTTGTCATTGTCCAGTATTTTCAGTTGACATCACCACAAGCCGTAGCAGTTTGTGCAGACTGTATCTCATCCTAGCCCCCCCCCCCCCTTCCTCAAAAACGGGTTTTATCCATTTTCTTACTATCTGAACAGAAGGAACATAGAATCTTAAAAAAAAATATTACCATTATCACTATTATCATTATTATTATTATTATTATTATTATTATTATTATTATTATTATTATTAATATTATTATTATGATTATTATTATGATTATTATTATTATTATTATTTTTATTATTATTATTATTGTTATTACTATTATTATTATTATTATTATTATTATTATTGTTGTTGTTGTTGTTGTTGTTGTTTTTGTTGTTGCATGGCATTCAGAAGTTCTTTTTGTGCATTTCTAACGCTGACTTTCCTAAGAAGAGTTGAACATAGTCTTATGATAATTCGAATGTCATATCT